TGTGTGTGTGTGTGTGTGTGTGTGTGTGTGTGTGTGTGTGTGTGTGTGTGTGTGTGTGTGTGTGTGTGTGTGTGTGTGTATGTGTGTGTGCGTGTGCGTGCGTGTGTGTGTGTGTGTGTGGTGTATGTATATATATGTATATGTATGTATGTATATATATATATATATATATATATATATATATATATATATATATATATATACATATATAACGACCAAGATAATGGTGATAAAGATTTTTTTTCGAGGCAACTGTGCAAATAGACTATGGCACATTAATTTTATCTTTGTGGATTATTATCGTCCACATTCCTCTCTCTCTCTCTCTCTCTCTCTCTCTCTCTCTCTCTCTCTCTCTCTCTCTCCTCTCTCTCTCTCTCTCTCTCTCTCTCTCTCTCTCTCTCTCTCTCTCTCTCTCTCTCTCTCTCTCTCTCTCTCTCTCTCTGTATTTCCTGTGATGTTATTCTTATTCATGTCTCTTTGGTGTTTCCCCTCCTCTCCCTCCCTTTTCCCCTTTTCCCCCTTTTTTTCTCTCTCTCATTCATCCCTCATTTTCCCTTCTGTGCTTCCCGTGTCTTTGGTGTCAGTCTTTCCTGTCTGTTTCTTTCTCCATTTGCTTTCTCCTCATTTTCTCTCATTTGGTGAATCTCTCTCTCTAATATCTCCCCTCTCCACCTATTCTACCCCCCCGACTCTCTATCTATCTATCTATCTATCTATCTATCTATTTCTCTCTCTCCCTCTCTCTTTCTCCCTCTCTCATCTCTCCACCTCTTCTTCCTCCCCTCCCTCTCTCTCTCTCTCTCTCTCTCTCTCTCTCTCTCTCTCTCTCTCTCTCTCTCTCTCTCTCTCTCTCTCTCTCTCTCTCTCTCTCTCTTTCTCTCCTTCATCCCAACCCCTCTTACTCCTTCCCCCCTTTCTCCTTCCTTCATTTCTTCTTTCCTCTCTGTGCCTCTTTTCATCTCTATCCTGAAATCCCTCCTCCTTCTCCCCCTCCCTCCCCTTCCTCCCTTCCCTCTCCCCCTCTCTCCCTCACTTTCCCTCTCCATTACTCTCACTTCTCGCTTTCCTCTTTGCTGAAATCCCATCTCCCTAACCCCCCTCACCCCCCACCCCCACCTCCCTTTCCTCTCACTCTCCCCCTCCCCACTTTCCCTCTGTTTTTCTCTCCCCTCTCCCCCTTTCCTCCCTTTCCCCTCCTTCACCCCCTCCCCCCTGCTTCACCCCCCCTCCCCTATCTCATTTTTCCTTCTGTATTTCTCTCCCCTTTCCTCTGTCCTCCCTTTCCCCTCCTTCACCCTCCCCCTCCCCCTCCCCTTCCTTCACCCCCTCCCCCTCCCCTCCTTCACCCCCTCCCCTTCCCCCTCCCTCACCCCTTCCCCTCCCCCTCCCCCTTCCCCCTCCTCATTTTCCCTCTGCGCCGCTCTACCACTCTCCCTCCCCCTCCCCCCCCTCCCCCTCCTCATTTTCCCTCCGCGCCGCTCTCCCCCTCTCCCTCCCCCTCCCCTCATCCCCTCCCCTCCCCCCTCCCCCCTCCCCCTCCTTCACCCTCCTTCACCCTCCCCCCCCCCCTCCTCATTTTCCCTCCGCGCCTCTCTCCCCAGACTCTCTACCTCTCTTCCCCCATTCACCGCGGTCCCTCATACGCCCAGTTATCTATTGAATACAACAAATGTCACAAGTCAGCCTGCACATTAATCTTCCTCACAATTATTAATCATCTTTTACTGACATCACCACTTCGATAAGGGCGCACTAGTCTCTCTTTAAGGGTGAGAGATTTCGACCCTTCGATCTAAGAAGCGTAAGGGTGAGAATCGACCCCGTCTTGACACCGAGGGATAGGTCTCTCCGCCGCCTCTCCGAATAGCAGACCTGTGTATCCTATTTTAGGCGTATATGCACCTCCGACGGCAAGGGATTGTGACCTCTATGCCTCTCCGGGATAAGGGAGGTTCGGTCACCTGGCTTAAGGCGGATTTTGCAACTCTGTAACAGCCTCTTTGCATTAAGCAGAGTCTGATACTGATATTGCAATAATAGTTCTCTCGGCGCGCAAAAAAAACTTATTTTCCAATAAGAGTTATTCATTTATTCAGCAAAATTCATGAAGTTGGGGTATCGCCTGCTTCAATGGTAAGTCGGCGGGATGGTTTCCGTTTTTCTATCTCTGTCTGTCTGTCTGTCTTTCTCTCTGTCTGTCTGAATGTCTGTCTTTCATTCTGTCTGTCTGTCTATCTGTCTGTCTGTCTCTGTCTGTCTCTCTCTCTCTCATCTCTCTCTCTCTCTCTCTCTCTCTCTCTCTCTCTCTCTCTCTCTTTCTCTCTCTCTCTCTCTCTCTCTCTCTCTCTCTCCCTCTCTCTCTCTCTCTCTCTCTCTCTCTCTCTCTCTCTCCTCTCTCTCTCTCTCTCTCTCTCTCTCTCTCTCTCTCTCTCTCTCTCTCTCTCTCTCTCTCTCTCTCTCTCTCTCTCTCTCTCTCTCTCTCTCTCTCTCTCTCTCTCTCTCTCTCTCTCTCCCTTTCTTTCTTTTTAGGTAAATAGATTCATGGTATGTCTCTCGGGACGAGATAAGGAGATGAGAGAGAGAGAGGGGGAGAGAGAAAGGAAGGGGAGTGGGAGAGAGAGAGAGAGACAGATAGAAAAACAGGCAGACTCTCCCCCACCCGCCTCTCTCTTTCTCTTCCTCCCCCCACCTCTATCTATCTATATATCTATCTATCTCTCTATCTTTCTTTCTTTCTTTTTCCCTCTTTCTCTTTTCCTCTTCCTCCCCCCCCCCCCTCTCTCTCC